CATTGACACTGAAGAGTCTGCTTTATCGACTTCGTACAAATTTTTCCGACCTTCCAGCATCGCCTTAATCTTCCCGATAGTTTTAATTTTTTAGTTTAAGTAATAAATAAATCTTGAAGAACAATAATTTCAATTAGGCCGCTAATGTATACACATACAAATAGATAAAAGTGCAACGCATAGCCGAGGCTAGATGTTGGTGCGCAATAATATTAGTAATTTTTATTTTTAAATTTCAACTATAGTAAACTGTGCGTCGATTACTTTAGGATTTTTTAAGAACACAATCATACAATAGCTGAAATTTAAAAATAAAAATTAATATATTAATTAATGTTAATTAAACGTCAACATCTAGCCTCGATCATACGTGGCTTTTCTTTATTTGTGTGTCAAAATTTAAAAATTTTTAAATTTATAAATTAACTTTCTATAAACTAATATAATCAAAATTCTATTAATATTCTTAAGTAAATATCAGGCATGAGAGACATTTTCATTGTTTCATCGTGAATAATAAGAGATTGCTGAAAGCCCGAGATAATAAATATGCGTGTATTAATATAGGTAATTAATGTATGTACAAGATAATTAGAGATCGTGGTGAACGATCGGATGCAAATTAAGACGTTAATTTAGACGTTGTAAATTAACAGCGCATATTGTACAATATAAGTCGATTTGCAAATTATATTTCTCTTTTCATTACGAGGATCAATGATTAAGTTGATGAAGCAGCATCAACAAGTAGCATGAATTAGCCTCTATTATTGTAAATGACTGTCTAATTGCCGTACAATTTAGATCCTCGGTAGTTATGAGCTCTGCCCGTATAAACAATCAATCTCGCGACTTTTACATGATGCATTTATGCATCGTTCAGATAATTTCTTCCTTCCAAGTGCGGTTTAAACACGAAAAGAGTAAGCAGCGAGGCGAGCAAAGACAAACGCATATAATTTATAACCCTTATAAAAATGTTAATGATTAATTACTATTTTGAGTATTAAAAGCTTTAAGGTACAATAGCTTTTAATACTAAAAAAAAGTAATCACTAATCAATTTAATATTTACAGTGTTAAATTTCTCTAAAGAATGTAAAGATACGCCATTTGATGAAAAATATTTATATAGTCAAACTTGCCAAGAGCACGTATTGTAAATTGTGTGTTGCATATTATGTTAGTAGAACTGCGGCAATAGTCAAGCATAAATTGCTATTTTAATTATTATTGGTAAAAATATATTAGAAAACAAGTAGGTCTTGCATCATAACATGCTAAAAAAATGCTGCAAAAATTCAACAAAAATTGCTGACATTAAAAAAACAAAATTTGAGCATTACATTTTTATAGTATATAAGCAGAAAG